GTGTGTGGAAGCATTTTTAAACTTGCTCTTTTTTTTTAGATATAAAATCCGCTGATTTTGACCCAAGCTGACTCGGTGTTGTGTTTTTCTTTATGCACTTTGGTTTATAAAGCCATGTCATCATTTGGCAGACTGTGCAGGAAAGGAAAGGACACCTACTGAATTGATTCAGCTTTTTTTTTTTTTGTTGGTAAACTTCTCCAAGAAGAAGGATTAACTGGATGATTGTGACCTCTCTCACCTTTAAGCATCCTCCTGACCTTCACTCAAGATTTTCCTCCAATAAAGTAAAAAGGAGGTTTTCATTAAACTAAACTTTGTATTTGTTAAAAACACTTTTATGTAGAATAATCTACTGATATATTCAGAAGTCTGCAAAGAAATTCAACACAAAAGCAACAGGTCCTTGGTTTGGTGTTGATTTTCTGTAGGCTGAATATTTTGAGGCAGGTGCAGTTTAAAAAAAAAAAAAAAAACTTTTTGGTTTTTCTTGAAAAAAACACTTAGGCTTTAAGCTTTTATTTTTGGGCCTTTTTGTCTTTATTTGACAGAACAGCTGAAGAGAGACAGTAAACGCTGGGAGGAGAGAGGAGGGGGGATGTCATGCAGCAAAGGACCGAGCTGGGATTCAAACCCACGGCTGTTGCAACGAGGACTACAGCCTCTGCACACGGGGTCTGCAACATAACCGCCAGTTAATCACGATTAATCGCATTTTTAATCGCATGTTTGAAATTCCTCTATATCGCATTTAAGAATAAGGCTTTTACTTTATGCTGAGAGTACTTTACTTGCTTTGTGCTTTTATCTTGAAATACAGTAAGTGCCCTTCTGGTAGATGGAAGGTTAGGACATGAAGTTAAGCACAGAAACAGGAAGTGGTTAGGGATCCCAAACTGAGGTCAAACAGCTCAAAGGAACGGTAACAAAGGTCAATGTGTGATGTCATAAGGTGGATATGACTGTGGACTCGTCAGATGAACTGTCTGAGAGTTTGTTAAAGTGAAATGAGACATTCAAAGATGCAGCAGTGTCCATCTTTTACATCACTGACACTACAGGGAGACACTGAGGATGACTATCTACAGTGAGACTGAAGGGACAAAATAACAGGAGATTAATCGTGATTAATGCTGACAGCCCTAACCCTCGAGGATGGGTGCATCAGTGTGAGGATCAGAGTGAGCATATAAAGCTTTAAAGTAAAGGGTAATCAAAATTGCACATCATGGTTTTATAACGTGCAGGTGTATGGCAGCTGTTTGCGTTATGGCATTTTGCATGACTGAAAACAATATTGACTCTCTCTATCGACACACTCCAGAGAAAAATCTGTCTGATATTTCAATTTATTTTAGCTGAACTCTGACGTTAAGGTGAGATGGAGGATGGGTGCATCAGGAGTGTGATGAATCTGCAGACATCACCTGAACGTATGTTTCTCTGCTGGGACTCTCACCTGAGCGTCTTTAGCAGAGAGAGAAAAGCTCCTCTGAAAGGCTGCAAGTGTTAATGACGGAGACGCTTTTTCTTGTGTTTGTATCTCTACTATGTTGAAGTAGCAGTTATTCCTGCGGCTGCTGCTGCTGCTGTTTAATCCAATGACTCTGACATCTTACATTAAGTGCAGCAATTCCTCTCCTCCTCTCAGGTCCGAGTACCTGTCTGCAAAACAATACCTGCTCCAATCCTTCATCACACAACTACCCCACAAATCCCCTCCTAATCCCTGAAATGCAGATCTGCGTGTGTTCCAGGTCCATTACATAGTTTGTGTGCTCGATTTCTTTGTAATATAGTTCTACTACGTTTCAGCGTATACCTCCACAGCTTAACCTACATAAGACCATTGATCAGTCTACGCTAGCATGTTAAGCATCGCCTAATCTGTCTCATGCTACCTGGATTTTCATATTGGAGAAATAATCCTGATGAAGGGGAGGGGAGGGAGGGGGGGCAAAGTCACCTAAGGACCTGTTTAAAAGCTCCTTATCAGAGACCTGCACTCCCACCATTTAGCTAAAAGGGGAGTGATAGCCTTTCAACTCACAAGCCGCAGCTTTAATTAAAGCGGCTTGTGGGAGACTTAAAGCACAGGGTGTGTATGAGTCGCCCGGCTGTGAAAAAAAATCTAAACTACATCAAACAATGCAGCTCGGTCCAGAGTCATAGCCTCCACTTTTAAAGAAAGTCCTCAGGAGTTCCTCAGGGGTCAATGTTGGGTCCGTGTTTGTTTATTCTTTGTATAAGTGACAAGAGCATGGTCAGGGGCGATGCAAGGATTTCTGGACCGCATGAAAAGATACATTTTTGTTACCGTTGAGTCGAAACAATTCCCATTTCATGATAACGTTATAAATAGCCTTAACTCTGTGTTACACCCTAAAAAAAAATTGTAAACAATAGGACATGAAGCGAGAAAGCCCGAGACACCCAAGTCCTTCCAGAGAGGGGCGTAGTCAGAGACAGCTCATCTACATTTAAAGCTACAGACACAGAAACAGCCTGTTCTGAGCAGGGCTGAAATAGAGGGGTTTATAGGCATGATCAAAAACAGGATCAGAGTGGATTTAGAACAAGAAACTTCACACACATGTTTTGGGGAGCTCTGAGACTTATTTAAACTGGTTGAAGAGGAGGAGGATATGTGACTAGAGCCCCCTTCTTCCAGTATTTGGATGGTGTAATTACAGGTTTAAATCTACCAAACTTATATCAAACATTTGTTATATACTGTCTATATATATATATATATATATATATATATATTGTTTTTTTTAAAGGTTTATTTTTGGGCGTTTTGTGCCTTTATTGGAGAGATAGGACAGTGGATAGAGTCGGAAATTAGGGAGAGAGAGAGTGGGGAACATCATGCGGGAAAGGAGCCACAGGTCGGATCCGAGCCCGGGCCGCCTGCCTGGAGATCTTGATCCTCCATACATGGGGCGCATGCACTAACCACTGTGCCACCAGCGGCCCAACATTTGTTATATTTATATCAAGAAAAATCGCATTGTGATAATTATCGTCATATCACCCAGGCCTATTTATAGTCCTGGGAAAAACAAAAGGAAAAATGGGCAAGTACCCAGGGCCCTGGGGGACAGCTCATGGGAGAGGTCTGTAATGCTTAACAGAAAGTTAACGTTCCATCATCTACGGGCGGCTGTGACTCAGTCGGTAGAGTCTGATGCAACCGGAAGGTCAGGGTTTGATCCCCAGCTCCTGCAGCCACATGTCCGATGTGTCCTTGGGCAAGACAATTAACCCCAAGTTGCTCGAGCTGCTTGATCAGCATATGAATGTATATGAATGGATGAGTTAACAACTGCCAAAGCCCGCTACAGACATTGTGATACTGTGAAAATGACTAATGAGGAGATGAATGACTGTATGACTTCTTGTAGTTTATGAATCCCGTAGAATTTAAAGTAGAAAGCAAAATCCTAGAAAACAAGAAATCAATAACTTCCCACTAATATTGGAAAAATGTTAACAGAGGGGGAGAAAGAGTGGGGGATAATTTAACAGGAAAGCTTAACATAAAGAAACTCTGCCTGTAAAACAATGAAGAGTTTGTGTGAGTTTCAGTCTGTGGGCTGGATTTAGAAAAAAGAATCTGACTGCGGAGCTTGAACAAAGAACAAACAGGATTCTGTTTCAGAAATCATGCAGAGAGAAATCAACAGATTTATCGAAGAGAAGGAGGAGGGAAGGGTTTGATCGATGATTGAATGTTTCTTTGCTTTGGACACAGGGAGGATTTTTGAGTTGTGAAAATAACTAAATTTAAAAGTACACATTCCAAAAGAAGCCCTGTGATTGACTGGCTAACAGTCCAGGGTGTAACCATTTCAAAAGATTTAAGTGTCCTCTTTCTGGGCGAGTAAAAATATATTGCAGAAATGGACAGATTGCAAACCACGATAGCTGGGTGGTGCAGATCTAAGTGTATCATAAAGGTTTGCTATGATATATGGTCCCCATTCTTAAAATATATTGGTACAAGACTGACAGGCAGGGGCGTGTCCAAACTTTCTTGAGTGGGGCAGCCAAACTGGGGCAAGGACTTCTGCAGGGGTGGCCTGAAGTATGATGTGCACACACAATTAAATATCAATTATTAACCCTTTCTGACTTCAATCAGATCGACTTCATAACACAAGATAAAAGCAACATTAGCTTAATGTTTTAATGACACAAAAAGATGCATATTCAAAGTCACCATTTAAGGGCAGGGAGGTATTTTTTTCGAAAGCTAGCATGATTTCGAAAGTAGCATTCCCTCAGTGCTCCGTCTACACCCACCCCCTCCCTTCTGTGCTCCCTTAAAGCCACCTCAAATCTTTTCCACCGTAATTCAGTCGATGGAAAAGCGCAGACACCCTCCTCATTCCTCCATCCTCTTCCTGACCAGCAGCAGAGTTCATCCGTGAAGGTGAGTAGTCAAGCCGGGCTCGCTCCTCCAAGGCCGGACTCTGGACCGCTAGGCAGAGCGCGCGACTGGACGACTTTGGCAGACTTAGATGAGAGGCTTTGCTTCCCACCTGAGATTGCAGAATAGAACTTTTATCTGCCTCGCGCCAGCTCGTGACCTCGGAGGACGCATTTGAGGAGGCTTACCTGGCAGCCGATATACAACGAGGCTGGAAGGCAAATGTCCAAAGTAGGCTGCAGAGGGCTTCAGTCACAGACCTCTGAAGGGCTGCAGAAACGGGGAGTCAGTGGCTGAAGAGAAGGGACTCTACCTGGGCCCACAGGTGAGTAGATGGCATCTATGGCGTGAGCCCGGGATGCCAGGATTCACTGCTGAACCCTCTGGAGGTGTCGTGGGCCTATCAGTGAATCACTGAGGAAGGAGGGCGCCCACTTGACAACCCACCAGACGCCTGCTCTCACTTAAGTATCCCACAGAGTGTCTCAAGTGTGCATGTAAGGGACTCTAACACCTTGTCCTAATCAACGATCTGTTCCTTTAAAGAAGAAAGAAGACATAAAACTAGTAGACAAATGTGTTTATTTTCATCTTAGTTTTGATCAGTATAATTTTCTTGTCTTCACATAAAGCTCGTCACAAAGGAGCACATACATTCATTAGGCAGGTGGAGTGAAGGTGAAAGGAGAGCACGCGGCTCCTGATTCGGTTTGATGATCAAAACTTAGAACAAACTAATGAAGGCAACTCGTCCTAGCAGGCGGAGTCTACATACTGAATCTAAACTGGCACGAGCATGGATCAGAAGCAGGTGATGTGCAGACAGGTAATGAACAAGCTTCACAGAGAGATGGAGAAAGAAGTGATTTTACAGTCAGAAGAGGAAAAATACCATGAGGAGGATCATTGACCGGGATTTAAAATCAGTGTTTGACACAGGAAATGATCTGTTACTGTAAATACTGTGCTTTACCTCACTGAACTTTCAAAACTCAGTGACCGGAAGAAAGGAGAAGAGACCAGAGGAGAGGAGAGGAGCCGGTTTATCAGTTGTAGAAAAAAAAACAAAGACAAAAAGCAGAAATAAGAAGTGGTAGTGAAAAGTTAATGTTTGTTCAGTCACTTCTGCTGCAGCCTGGCAGCTTTAAACTTGGACACCCTTTTCGGCACTTGTTCAGGCGGTGGGGCGTCCGACGTCACCTCCTCCTGTTTCCTCTCCAGAATAGTCGGCAGAGCGGGAGGGACGATGGTCAGATGAGGAACGGCCGAAGGCATCGGGTCCTTTTCGACCACCGTACCTGAAAAGGCCTGAAGAAGAGAGAGATTTAAAAATCAATAACGAATCAATTTTAAGTGTCTCAAACTGAACTAGTGAGGAAGTTTAAAAGCTTCAGGGGAACTAAAGGAGACGTCCTCGTGTTGTTGGAGGTTTATTTTACAGAGAAAGACGAGCACAGGTTTTTAAATTTGACAAAAATAGAACTCCTTTAGGAGGCTGGAGGAGAAACTCCAGGTGAAGTCGGAGTGGAAAAGTCAGTTTGTGTTCACACATGAAGCTCCTCCGTCAGATATCAGGAGCTTTTCAGGAGTTTTGTGCAGGTCTGAAAGCCCTATAAGGGTTCTAAAGGGTTCAACTTTTCTAGTGCCGTCTTCATGTTGCCTCTTGTGATCGATGTTTAAACAGACCTTTGTTTGGCGTTCTCGTTAAGGAGTCGGAGGCTCAGAGGTGTCGTTTCCATCATGTAGGTTTACTTCGGGCTGGTTCATGTTAAAACTGAGATTAAAGACTGTACACACGTCTAATCAGATGATATGTTAAAGGTGGCCTTGTTGTTTACCTCGAATCTGCTGGCGGGGTGCAGTGGGACCGCCGTGGGACTGTCCTCCTCCGTGATGCCGTCACTGGTGTCGCTGTGCGTCAACTCGTCGTGGCTGAAGCTGCGCCCGATCATCCGGCGCTCCTCGAAGTCCGCGGCGCTGCTCTCGCTGGTGTCGCTGCACACGCTGTTCTCTCGGCTGCGGGACTTCAGGATGGACTTCCTGGGGACGGGCTCGCCGTTCTTCACATCCACGAACAACCTGAGCAAAAAGAACAGACCACTTTCAGATCATTCATTTATTGTTTGAGAGTCGGAATATCTGCTCCCTGTCGGACTCCACTCCTTCTGCCGCTCTACTTCCTGAATGGGTGGAGCTAAGGAGCCAACGCCTCTGACCTGTGGGAGCAGACCTCATCATCCCAACAGGTTGAACTTTGTGAAGTTTTACATAAAAAAAATAAATAGAATCTGCGCAGGCAGGACCAGACGTTGTATGAGAAGTGTTCTAGTTTCCTTTTGTCGGACGTTTGTAGTCCAAGTAGTATTAACCAATCACGTACCAGCAGGCTTTGGTGAATGCAGGAAAAACAGCCTGTGAGCTAAAATAGGATTAAATACTTTCAGCCATCCTGTCTCCCATCGTCGGTGATCTGATGACGATTAATCCATCTACATAGAAACAGACGTCTACATGAAGAGCAGCTAACGATCTGCCCTGCAGCAAACTTTTACACTGGAGCCTCAAGTGTGCTTGACGCTGTGACACTGAAGCCAATCAGCTTCCAGATTTCCTGACTTCCTGGAATGCGTAAGTAATGATCGATGACACTTTTTGATCATATAGAAGGAGCGGTTCCTTCTCGCCTGAGCGTCGTCATGGAGACGATTTGTGGACACTTCTTACAGTTCAGTCTGATCGTCTTCAAAGAGAGAGAGACTTAAATCATCGTCAGACGACAGCTGGCGGGTTTTGAGGTAGTTTATAATGTGTTAGTATCTTTACTCATTAAGACTCTGATGTTTCACTGATTCAGTTTTTCTTGTTGGTAAAGTTTCATCCTTCATGCAGACATTTTTGTAGGATATGTTTATGGTAACAGGATGAAGATCTTTGTTAGAGTTCTTTCACACTTGTAGAAAACTCCTGAAAATGTGGGACTGCATGTGTGAACGCAAACTGACACATTTATCACTCGAACAAACAAACAAACAGAATTCTCCTCATTACTGTTCAGTGACTGAAACGTGTGCGTGTGGTTTCTACCTGTAGATGTCTGCTGGCGTGGTGATTTTGTGAAGTTCGTGAAGCGAGTGTCCGTTATTGTGTCCGTTTTTCTTCTTCTTCTTCGAGTGCTCCTTCTGTTCTTTCCTCTCGCTGAACTTCAGCATGGTGTTCTTCCCCGTGTTGATCCTCACCTGAGGCAGAAGACGCAGAAACGTTAATCACACTGCAGAACCAATCAGCGCAGATGGGAAACATGCTGACGCTTTCTTTTTTTAATTCATCACTCCGACCTTCTTTGGTTCGACGGTGTGAGAGAAAAAGATGGTGGGCAAACAGCTGCCGTCCCCTTCCTCATCCTCATCGCACTCTTCCTCCTTCCTGTCCGCAGTGGGCGGAGCTTCACTGTGAGGAGAGGTCCAGCTCGGCTTCAGACTGAGTCCGTTCACGGGAGCTGCAGCTTCTCCGTCCTTCTCCTCCTCTGAGGAGAGAGACGATGTGTCCTCACCGTTCATGTCTGGAGTATCTGATAATCTAAAGACAAAACGTTTATCAGCAGAGGTTAGGAAGTGTGTGAGAATTAAAGCTACTTCAGAATAATAAATCTCTGTTCACCAACCTGTCCTGCTCGTCTCGGAGCTCCTCCTGTTTCTCCAGCTCGTCCAAACGAGCCCACAGCTCCTCCTCCGTCAGGACGGCTCTTCTGCTCCCTCCATCTCTACCCTCCTCTTCATCTTCATCCTCCTCCTCCTCCTCCTCTTTCAGATCCAACACTGCTTCACATTTGGGCTTCGAGTTTGGTTTGTGAGCTATCCTCTGCTTTCCTGTTAGGGAAGAAAAGTCTTTTAATGTAGATCAAACTCTCAGAGTTTTGAGGAGGAGTGAGGCCCCTTGTCCACCTGGAGCGCTTGTAACTTTTTAAAATTGTTTCCAGTGAGTAGAGAGCGTTCACAGAAGAAAGCGGCCGCCTCCAGAAAAAAAGTGCAAAACCAGCATCTTTTTCCGAGCGCTCTTCCTTTTCTGTGCGGCCGCTCTGAGCGCTCAAGTTGAAAATATTTTAACTTTTCAGAAAGATGTTGTTAACGTCACCGGCGCTCTTTTCCAAATGTACGATATTCCCCGTAGTTTAGCCTCCTACAGATCGTGTACCCTCATCCTCCTCACTCCGCGTCTATTCGGGAAATAAACGATTTCAAATGTAAAACATGCAGTAAAAAGTAACGGAGCAGTGTTGGTCATACAGCGACCGTTGTCAACAGACTGTTGTCATGGAGACAGGACGGACGTGCAGCACTTTTCTTCTCAGCGCACAAACGCTTCATGCAAGAGCTCCCGCTTTTCTGCCCGGAAAAAATGCCAGGTGGACACAGGGCCTTAAAGGTGAAGGGGACAGAGGGCAGAAGCTGGTTACCTTTGGTGAGAGCGGCGTCATGGTTTCCCTCTTCTTCTCTAATGTCGATACAGTCGCCTTTACTCTGAAAGAGAAGTCAAAACGTTTGTAACCCTTTTATGTTTTTGGCGCTGATTCTCATCTGTGAGACACCACACTTACAGCCGAGATCGTTTCCAAATCCTTCGCAAAACCAGCTCTGGCTTCAAAGTTTTTCTTGGTCTTCGACAGGGCATCCATTTCTCTCTTCACGTCTGCAGGAAATCAGTCGCATTAGCATCGAAATGTGGATTCAGACTAACTTAAGAGTGCAAAAGCTGCCTGCAGGCTCGCAGAGATTTAATGAAAAAAAAAAGATTTAATATGGAACATTAATAAAACAATCAGACGCTGAAGAGTTAAAATCCAAAACAAGTTGGGGGGAAGAAATTGAAAAATGATGACACAAACAGTTCATAATGTCTTCTGCCCTGAATACTACTCCGGATCATTAAATCTTGACAACAATTAAGCCCTTTTGCTAATAGCAGCAGAGGGCCCCTGTTTCCATGGCGATCGGGAGCCCCTCCAGTCAGTACATCAACTGAAAGTGAGGAAAGGTCAAACACAGAAGGCCTGACAACTCCGCCGCTGTCTGACACATCTCAGCTCGCCGTGTTTGTATTACAGCACTTAGCTCTGTAATAGCGGGGTGGGCAGGGTCAGGAGAATGGGGGGGTGGGGGCTCCGTATGTGTGTATGCATGCATGGGAGGGGGGTACAGACGGCTGCGGATGGGCTGTGGCAGCACATTTCTGCTTCACTAAACACTCTAATAATGTTCACATCAGAGATCGTTACTTGGGCCCATTTGACTTGATATGAGATTTTCAGCCCCAGAATGAGCAGCGGAGCACACACGCACACGCACACACACCGCGCGCGCGCACACACACACACACACACACACACACACACACACACACACACACACACACACACACACACACACACACACACACACACACACACACACACACACACACACACACACACACACACACACACACACACACACACACACACACACACACACACACACACACACACACACACACACACACACACACACACACACACACACACACACACACACACACACACACACACACACACACACACACACACACACACACACACACCGAGAGGCTTCTTGCATTTTATCAAACCATACTGGTGCATTCACAGGACTCGATTTAAGCACAGGAGAAGACTTGCTGTCAGATTTACAACGAAGGCAATGACAGCAATGATCTGTGACAATATGTATGAAGTTGCTGCAAAGGTTGCCTTCCACATGTTTAAAAAAAAATCACTCTGCATATGTTAGTAACTCTTCATACTTTCATTTCAAGATCTGTTATTATCAGCAGCAGAAGAGATAGTGTCTCCTTAAGTCTCAGTCTCAAACAAATTCCGTCTGAAGTTAAGTTCAGGGATCAGAGTGATTTTGATGCAGCAACAGCACCCTCTGCTGGTAGAATTAGATACCTTTACACACATGCATACCTCACTAAGATCATTCTTTAACCTATTACCAAGGAGGTTCCTATAAAAAAAATCTTAAGTCACATTCATGACCCCACCTGACCTTAAACCTTTATGTTGTTCCTAAATGCCCATATAAGGTGCATGCACATACAGAAATCACACTGAAGATTAAAAAGAGAGAGAAAATGGAGATGTCCAAAAGATGAGCATCAAACTCCAAATGAGTGGGGTCTGAAATAGATGAAGTGTTGCTGAGAGTGAAACAAACCTGGGATCATTTATCATATTATATAAAGCGGTGTCAGGAGGGATTTAAAGTGAAAACTCCAAACAGATAGATAATATTATTATATAGCTCAGAAAAGGGATGGACGTGATGACGTGAAATTCAAACGTTTAATCTAAAATCTGAAACGACGAGAAAGACGACCACCACATCTGCTCATTTTCAGGATGATACGATGTGGAACATTTATTTCTATAAATCGCAGCTGAAACATAAATATTACTGGATGAGTCCCATCGATGGCGGTCTCCATGCTGGAAATGCTGTCTCAGCCTAACTTTCAGTCAGCCTAACAACAGGCTGAGAGCTGGAGCTGAGGCGGGTTTTAAGCCTCCTGACAAACCGTTACACCACACCCACCTGTCAATCAGGTTAGCTACACACCTTTTTGTGAATAACTCTTATCCTTCATCAAATCAAAACTCAAAAGTCATCAACACATTCACCCCCCGTACAGTGTGTGTCGATCGAGACATGAAGCTAATCAGACCTGTTTGGTTTTTTGAACCAGGCTGTAAACATGTTAATCTCTGCTGTAAAAACAGGCTTTTTAGAATGGATGTGTATGTGACTTCCTGTGCTTCTGCAGGCAGCCTCTAGTGGACACTCGAGGAACTGCACGATTTTACACCTCCGGTTGACGCTTGGTACTCAGTTAATTTAACTTTGGTCAGCGTTAGAATCTTAACAACAAACTTCTTCCCCACCATTTCTCAGTGAATTAGACCCGATGTGACGGACAGACGACAGCAGACAGGCCTCTAAAATTCAGACTCACATTTCATCCTGTGGTTGACGAGTTTCTGTGCCTGCTTGGACGAGCACTTGGCGAACCAGTTGTCCCCGAGCAACGCCGTGACCTCGTTGGTGTGCACGAGTTTCCCCGGCATGAAGGCCAGAGGGCCGAACGGCACCTGTTAGTTTAACGCAGAGATGAAATGGAGGAGGAGTCAGAATGTGGACGTGACAGAACTGTCACAAACTTTCAGTGGCAGTAGTCAAAAAAAATAAAGGCGGTCAGATTGTGCAGGGTTAAGAATAAACACAGAGGTCATGACGATGTTTGTGTGACGGTCAGCGCTCACCATGATGTCATAACTCAGCTGGTCTGGCAGAGTCTGAAGGCGCTCATTCAAGGCTTCATAGTCACCTGACACCTTCTTCCTGTGAAAGCATGCATTTATTATAATGTCAGGTTTAATTAAAACCATTCAGATTCTTCTTTTCTCATCTCAAGTCTTTAAACTCAAACAGCTGTTTGGCTCATTTGTGGATGTTACACAGAACAATGAAAAGCAAACAGCTGCTGAGTCAAAAGGAAAGGTTTCCTGTTCGGGAGTAAAAAAGGAACTTTGTGATTTCACTGAATCATTTTTAAACCTGCCCCAAATGAGGGAGTTTAAATATTCTGGCGGATTGGATCAGCGTCAGCAGTAATGAGGACGTTGTACCAAAACCGTTGTGGTGAATGAGCCTATGGATATGTTGACGAGTTTTTATAAGTGTAAAGTAGTTGTATGATAAAAAGTCAGAATTTAAGGGGCTCAGCTCCTGATTCACCCGCTGATCTTCGTTCCAACCCTCACCTGTGGTCATGAGCTTTGGGTAGTGACTGAAAGAATAAGATCGGAGATACAAGCGGGCAAAATGAGTTTCCTCCTGTTGGTAAAATAAGTGTGTTTGTCACTGAACATGTTCAGCTCCACGCGCCTCCAACCCGAGTAAACATCTGATGGAGTGGAAAAGAATCTTACACAACAATCGTCTACAAAGATGGGACATGGACTTTGCTCCTTATCTGACTGCACTGAGGCGGTTTTCAAAATGGCCTACTACATACTACTGCCTAACGAAGCATGTAGCATGTAGCATGTAGCATGTGCTGCATACTGCGTTGGACAGTAGTCTGCAGTGTGACCTCCAGTCGGTGGTTATTCTGCAGTACACCAGGCCCGGCTAAGCTGGTTTCTGTTCTTGGAATGAGGAAGTAAACAACAGCCCAGCTGACGACAAACGCCGCCTCAGTGTGGAGTCCATTTACAGTCTGAAAAAAGCTGACAATTTAGATTTGACTCAACAAAGATAACTGGCAGTACCTTTGTGAGGTTTGGTCAGATTGTGATTATTTCCTCTGTTACGATGGATGTCGATGTCCCTCATTTAGCTCTTTGACCTGCAGCTTTGCATTGTGGGAAACATCACGCGAGGGAGACTGGTCTGATGCGGACTACATTTTTACTGAATCAGTACAACCAGTTAGTCCAGTTATTCTTGGCAAACTGAGGATCTCACATTTGTTTACAAACTGCATTTTAGCCAAAGCAATACAAACTATTACTAAAGTAGCAGGTTTAGAAAACAGTCAGTGTGTGTGGCCAATTACAGAGCACACTTGAATGAAACGTCTCTGATTGGTCGGGAGAGTCAGGCAGTCTGAACGCAAACTCAGGATTGATCATACTAACTTGAACTCTGCTGGTCGAACATGGCAGTGAAAACGACGAGTGCATCACGACAGAAGCCTCGTGTCAGGGTGAAATGTGGATTTAGTTTCATTTTCAAATCAGTTTTACGCAAAGACAGTCAGGAGCCGGACACACGAAGACTGCACAGACGATTAAATCTCGGCTCAAACTGAACGTTTTAGAAACAAAGTGAGACCTGAGCAGAGTAGGTCTAAGTCTCTTCTGAAATACTGCAGAGCTTTTAAATCAAACGTCCTGCATTTCCAGATTAAAACAAGCTTAATATGTTTGTTCTCTATTGACCTGCTTCTTCTGCTTTTGTGTAATTATTTAACTTTTGACGCACACAACAACAAAAACAGAGATCGCTTTCATAATGCACATGTTGAAATGTGTTTTTAAAGCTTACCAGTGCTGCAGGCGACTGTCACAGTCTCTCACCACCTGTTTCAGGACAAATCATTTCTGAGTGAATCACAGTGAGAATGTTTGAAACGTCACAGTCCTGAGTGGAGGATTTAAATGGTTAACAGGTCAAAAGTCACACTGAGATCACAGGAATAAATAATCCATCCTAATAATCCAACACGCTGATCATACATCTTTTGTTTCAACACTGAAGAATCAGAACTGAAGACAAAAAGCGGATCAAGGAAGCAGGAGAGGAAGACAAACAGCTGTGAAAACGACGTCTGCACACACGGATCACTTTAACATATGGTGCAGCATCCAGATCATGCAAACCAACTTCAGACAAACATCAACATTTGGTTAGAGTGGAATAAAGTCATTTGTGTGTGAGTTTCCGAGTAGCTGTTCCGACTTAAGCAGGTGTTCAGTGCATTTCACCACTCGGAAACTCGTTTTTCCGATGTGTCCGACACCACATGAATGCAGCAATATTATGAATACAGTGAGCCTGAATCACGCCCCCTTTGATTTTGCCCAGGAGGGGCCCTAGGAAGCTTTCCCCTCACCCCCCCCCCCCTTATGAGCGGCCTTGTTGTTAACTGTACTGTAATTTAGTACAAACATTTTACTTTTATATATAAATGAATTAGTTTGGCGAATTAAAAGTAATCTCTGAGTAACTCGGGGAACGCAAAAACAAGTGCTGCAACTGTCCAGAGTTTCCCCTGAAAGTAACTCACTGGTTCTCCCACCGCTAGCTCACTGGTTTACATGTAATAACGCATTAAAAGTCGGGTTGTATTCATAAGTAAAGGCCCTAAATCCGAGAAATCTACAAGAAAAACAAACACTTCAACAGGGGACTTTGCAGAGAAACGAAACTAAACACTCCCGAGTACAACTTTAACATGTGAGAGTCTGAGAGGAGGAAGCTTCTGGAAACAGGACATGCAAAACATTGACCTCACGGCTTGTTCATGTGACTGATAGGTTCGTATAGTTGGTGCACAAGTGCTTTTATTAAATGTTGGATGGAGTGGGGCTGAGGCACTGTGGTTCAGAGCTGGTCCACCTCGTGGCCCGTTACCTGCCTGTGGTTTGGCTAACACTGGTCGCTTGTTAGTAGCCACCGAAACGCTTCGTGTCATCCGTGAATTTACCTTCTCGTGTTCCTCTCGGAGCCTGACAACTCCTCCGAGATGCTCAGTGTTCATTTTACCTTCCTCGGCCATCGTCAACACGCGTGCAAAGCAGGGAAACGATGCGTTTAATGACCCCAAAACAAAGCTCAGGGGTTGTTGTGAGTCCTAAAGAAGTGTTTATGAATGCAGCAGCAGCGTTTCCTCAGAGCCGTTCTGCTCGTGTTCATCCAACAGGCAGCGGAAGTTATCCTCACTTTACGAACTGAGACCATTTCACACGCTCATTTCAGCATCTCCGCATCGCTTCCAAAAATATCCACGCGTTTAATATTCCCAAAGATTAGCGAATAGTCCTCTGGCCACTCTCGCTGCTGCGACGTGCGCCTCGGTCCACCGTCAACAACCGCTTATATGAAGGGAACATCCGGTCAGAATTTTCAAAATAAAAGACTTTGGCGCGGGGAAAAAAAAAAAAAAAAACCTCAGTAAAGAAAACAGCTAAGGGCAAAAAGTTATTAACCTTCGACTACATTTAAATTAGGAACCAAATGAACCTGTGTAATAATGACTTTATTCTAACCAGGGGAGAGTCCAGACTTTTTGGACTGGGGTGGCCCAGCTTGCGCACTGACAAGGGACGGCACCGACTAATATGTTGGGGTGCTATGAATAGTTACTTTTTAAGTTTTCTCTTTTTAAAAAAATAAAAAAAAGCAGACATAGGTGAGGGAGCTATTAACGGGGCTAGACAGATTTGTGATGGTTTAACACCATTATTGGCACTGACTAAAGGGCGCACTAACACTAGACCCAGTTGACCCCATTCCCCCGCTGGTCTGCACCTCACACTGCTCCAGGACTAACCAGGCCTGAGCACGGTTACCTCTTGTACATGACGTTGTAATACAACACATGCATGGCTTTACATCATCATGAAGTGTGCTTAGTTTACAAGACAGGCAGACTCGAAAAATATAAATAAAATAATAAACGGGACGTACTGTCGAGTGAACGTCTGCACATCGGAGGACAACACAGAGAACATGACAGCATTTACTGACTTTGTGGCTAATTTTTAGTCATTTTAGTCAGATACAGACAGAACACTTAATTCAGATCATGGAGACAGGGATCGATTATACTTCATGTCTATGTTGTGCTCCCGTGCTTGTGTTGACTGTGTCTTAGTGGTAGAGTCGGTTGTTTCTCAACCATTAGATCAGGGTGTCGATCCCTAGCACCTGCAGCCACATCGCTGATGTGTACTTGGGACAGAAACTCAACCCCAAGTTGCTCCTCCTGCTTTATCGGCGGTGTGTGAATGTGTATGAATGTATTAGTTAATACTAATGGACTCTTTCCACAGCAGCCTCTACCATCAGTGTGTGAATGTGTAGGTGTGAGCTGCGGTGTAAAAGAGTTTTGAGTAGTCAGAAGACTAGAAAAGAAATATCCAAGCTCAAGTCCATTTACCACTCACGGTTTTATCATTTCACATTTCCTTCTTATCAGGAATCCAACCAACAACATCACCCTGAGCATCCAACACGGGAAGGGGATATGCATTAATCCCAAGAAAACCACATAGCCTATGTGAGGTATCTTATTTTGAAGGCGGCACGTTGTTGTTCCGCTTTACAAGACGTCTGACGCTACCTTGACGCAGCTGTGCTCCTGTTTCTCCCGGTGTACTCTGGGTAAATGTGCACTGTTACACAAATGTAAACAAATTGACAAACCGTCGCGAGCTTCAAATCGTGCCGCAGTGACGTACAGAGAGAAACACTTTGACATGAACGAGCTTTTAGGACATTCATGTGTTTATCAAAGTAGACTCTTTTCCGCAGGACATGGTGGACCTGTCTGCAGCTGAAGACAGAAACCTTTTAAAAGCATCGACATGATGAGTACGTGACGTGTTCATCTTAAAGCTCTCACAGATATCTGTTCATATAAAAACACACAGGGCAGTGATGATGAACAAGTTTGGCTTTTTAGTAAATTAATACAATCCACTCAGGGTTCCAGCCCCCTTCTTGTCACTCGCTCATTGGCTGTACGCGATGCATTCAGGTACAGTCGGGTATAGCCAGAGTTTCCGTTATGATAGCAATTTGAAGGTTTTTTTTTTTCTTCTTTATTCAGAGTTGTATAAATAACAAACAGACTTTTAAACCGTTCATCATACAAGTGACACCAAGCAGCATATTGCAATGAGAAAAACTGAGTAAAAAACAACCAATACAAACATGTTTAATAACTCAAAATAAATTACACGAAAATGTAAAACTCAAATGATGCAGAGAGTCTTGAGGAAAATCTTTCGAAAACTGAAAGAAAAGACTTCAGTGTTTATCCAGCTCTGCATGGGTCTGTAAACCTTTTTGTGTTCTAACCTCTCTCCATTTTTCAAAAGCATCTCCAATATTGATCCTAGTTTGAGCACGTTTCTGCTCGTGGAGCTTATTAGAAACATGCAGAGGCTTTTTAGGTCGGGTACAATCACTTCTATCTGAACCACTTCTCTTGACCGCTTCCATCACTGCAACACCTGTTGACCTGATAACTGCTCTCATATCTGACAAACTGAGGGGCGTCCAAAACAAATCCAGAGCATTCAGGAGCAGAATCTAAAGTTAGAAGGAGGACATACTGGCTGCTGCATTGTTGTCAGAGAAGCCAGCACTTCAACATAGCATGTTTCCTTAATGTCTGATCATATAGTAAGGTCACTTTATCATTTCACTCACTACACATCTTACTGATTGGACCTTAAAAAATCTATAATAGTTCATTTTGAATTTACCTATGTATTTTCTGCTGGTTTACTTTAAGATTAAAGTTATCGTTGATCTAGAAATTGTACATTTGTTTTCAAAACTTGATAATTCAGTTATTTTACTCACATAAAGAAGAACGTTTGTAATTTGCAGAATGTCCTTGAACATATCACTGTTCTTGCTCCCAGAATGCTTTGCGGCCACTGTCATGTCATGACATGATATGCAGGCTCAGAAATCAGGAGCTGAAACCGGTCAGAGCAGGGATTTGAGATCAACATCAGAACATTGAATAAGTGTCAGAGTAATTCATGAGGATTGGATGACGCTTTAAGGTATGTTGATGGTGTTTCCGGTGTTTTCATTGCAGAGTTTGTATTATTTTAGAGGAATAATCATTTAAAGAGAGGGACTGTATGCTCTGTGTCATGATGCTCACTGATGCAATCACACTTATTATGATAACCTACTGTTAGAATAAAGGCTGCAGCTGTTAACCTGTCAGTGTTTATCCAGATCAGTGTTTCCTCCTCTCAGTGTTTGATTCAGAGGTTCATCTCTGTGTCTTCTTTGATTTTGGTTGAATTAATAATTATTCTCAGCAGATATTTATAAGAATGTATATTTAAATAGTTTTATTTAAATTAATTCACACAACAGACGGTGTTTACAAAACCATTAATCAACAAACATGACTAAATATTCACAGCTGGAAATAAATATCAAGGTAATTAATTTAAACAGAAGTGTGTTTTTCTTGCATACTATTTTAATTAGAGATGCACCGATCCATTTTTTAAAATTCCGATCCGATTTCGATACATATGTACCGATACCGATATTTTTACATCATCATAACTTATAATGTTTTTGTTGTTGTTGTTATTACCTGGAAAGGCAAAGCCGTAGTAAACCTCACATTGTATTGACTTTATGCTTCTCAAGCAAACAGGAAGCAGCAACAGCTGTCAGGTTTTTCAAGTTAAATCTTTTAAACCAAAGTGTAAGAATTGAACTTTTCATCACATAGAAGGAGCTGTTCCATCTCGTGTGAACGTCGTCATGGAGACGATTTGTGGACACTTCTTACAGTTCAGTCTGAACGTCGAGAGACTGTTCGAGCCGAGGATGTTTAAAGTCACCAACCATCTTTCTTCATCAGTCACTCCGATATCAGATCAGATCAGTCCCATCTCTAGTTTTAATTACTGTGATTGAGGTATGTTGGTCCTGGATCTGTTTAAATTAGAGGAGGGTTCATTGTCATGCATACTGGCTAATGATCACTCCATTGAAATATAGAATCTTATCTTAAACATCAACATGTTTTTTTTTAGCTGCTGTAAATTTATGGATTAATTTTTTATCAGTGATCAAATATCGAACAGGTATCAGCCGAGCCTTCTTGAATGCCACATCATGATGCACAAGTTTATTCCAATATGAAATGTCATAGTAACCCTAACCTCTGACTCCTGACCTCTGACCTCTGACCCCTGACCTCTGACCCCTGACCCTGACATGATGTGGTGATGCTGTAACATCTTTGTCCTCATAGACCTGCTGTCACGTCTCTTAACATTTGTGAATGTGATCCACAGCATGTGTCAGCGTATCGATGATGTCATGAAGCTGTGTTGCGAGTTATCAGCCAATCAGCAGATCCAGACAACAGTGAAAGGCTCGGGGAAGGGGGCAGCGGCGGCGGGGGGGCTGGCCTTCGCTGGAGGGCTGGTCGGGGGGCCTCTCGGTATAGCAGTCGGTAAGTAGGAGAAATAATCCAACAGGTCAAAGTGGAAGAAAAATATGTCAAATTTACTACATTTACTCGAGTAAACCAAATCTGTGTGTTTCAGAGTGTTTTTAGACAGACAGACGGATAGACAGACAGACAGACAGACAGACAGACAGACAGACAGACACACAGACACACAGCCAGACAGACAGACAGACACAGACACACAGACAGACACACAGACACACAGACAGACACACAGACAGACAGACAGACAGACACACAGACAGACAGACAGACAGACACACAGACACACAGACAGACAGACAGACAGACAGACAGACACACAGACAGACAGACACACAGACAGACACACAGACAGACAGACAGACACACAGACAGACAGACAGACAGACAGACAGACACACAGACAGACAGACACACAGACAGACAGACACACAGACAGACAGACAGACAGACACACAGACAGACAGACAGACAGACACACAGACACACAGACAGACACACAGACAGACAGACAGACAGACAGACAGACAGACACACAGACACACAGACAGACACACAGACACACAGACAGACACACAGACACACAGACAGACACACAGACACACAGACACACAGACAGACAGACAGACACACAGACACACAGACAGACACACAGACAGACACACAGACAGACACACAGACAGACAGACGGATAGACAAACAGACACACAGACAGACACACAGACACACAGACAGACACAAAGACAGACAGACAGACACACAGACAGACAGACAGACAGACAGACACACAGACACACAGACAGACAGACAGACAGACAGACACACAGACACACAGACAGACACACAGACACACAGACAGACACACAGACA